TAATGCTCTTTTGGGAACACGTTATCATCACAAAGATGCTATTTGGGGATACAAGGCAGAAGGTCCTCATGTATACGTATGAACAGCTGCCCAGCATGGGCTACAAAACTACCTGCAACCCTTACCACTGCCTAGGGTACATGATACCTTCATTGGGTGACATGAGATCTGGATTAGGTTATAGACAGAGGTACATCTGTAAGAGAATTATCTGTTAATATGTTTGTCTGTATGCCATCCATCTGTCCATTATTTTGACGCTGTGTCCTTTTTGTCTGTCTTGCATTAGTGTGCCAAAATACCAAGCATAAGCAAGTTAAAGTACCAGAAGTTTGTATTGGTTCATAGTTTCATAGCTTCAGCTGGCTCTGAGGCTTTTAGGCCTGTAACAGAGCAAGCTAGAACAAAGCTGCTCATCCTATGGTGGGCAGGTATGAGAGAGTGAAGAGAGAGAGAGGTGGGGGGGAGAGGGAGGGAGGAAGAGGGATGGAGGGATAGAGAGAGGAGAGGGGAGAGGGATGGAGAGGGAAGAGGGATGGAGAGGGAAGAGGGATGGAGGGATGGAGAGGGATGGAGAGGGGAGAGGGATGGAGAGGGAAGAGGGATGGAGAGGGAAGAGGGATGGAGGGATGGAGAGGGATGGAGAGGGGAGAGGGATGGAGAGGGAAGAGGGATGGAGGGATGGAGAGGGATGGAGAGGGGAGAGGGATGGAGAGGGAAGAGGGATGGAGGGATGGAGAGAGGAGAGGGGAGAGGGATGGAGAGGGAAGAGGGATGGAGGGATGGAGAGGGATGGAGAGGGGAGAGGGATGGAGAGGGAAGAGGGATGGAGAGGGAAGAGGGATGGAGGGATGGAGAGGGATGGAGAGGGAGAGGGATGGAGAGGGAAGAGGGATGGAGGGATGGAGAGAGGAGAGGGGAGAGGGATGGAGAGGGAAGAGGGATGGAGGGATGGAGAGGAGGGAGGAAAGGGATGGAGGGATGGAGAGGGATGGAGAGGGGAGAGACTACTTGTAAAACAAAGTCACTTCCCCAAAACCTTCCTTTGGCAATCAGGAGTCACTTGGAAGTTCTGAAGTCGTGTGTGGTCAATATTTTGTCACAGCGACAGTGAGTGCGGTATAGCAGAGCCCCTTCCCAGGTACTTTCCTCAAGGCTGCCTAACTTTAGCATTTTTGTTATAAAGAAACCCATTACCTACCATCTTGATTATTTCATTAAAAATGCGTAAGTGGTCTGGGGAGATGGCTCAGTGGATAAAATTCTTGCCATAGAAGCATGAGGGCTAAGTTCCAACCCTCAGCACCCACATAAATATCAGATGGGCATGGCGGCTCACCTGTAATCCCAGCACACAGAAGGCAGAGACAGGGTCCCCAGATCAAGCTGGCTACTAGGTTGGTCTAATCCCTGAGCCCTGGATTTAAGTTCGAGACCCTGCCTCAAGATGGAGAGTGATGGACAGCTGACACCAAGTTTTGGCCTCCACACACATGAGCATCCCTCCCCACGTGAGAACACGGATACACACGACTGCATAACACATACACACAAAAAATAGGGGAAGTTTGCGCATGCCCCAAATCACACACATGGTTTTCATGATAATTATTTATTATCCTTGCTTGATAAACACATTGACCCAGAAAGTGACATAGACTAGAGGAGCCCCCAAACCTGAGCACCATTCAACATATCAGCTGTAGCAAAGGGGCTATGCCCCCGTCGAGATGTTCCCGTGTTAGGAATTATCTGCACGTAAACAACAGTCAAGTCCAAACAGATGCTGTTGAATGTTGCAGAGACCTGACCACGGTACAGGCTGGGGACATTTTTCTGATGGGCAGGGTTGTGCACTAATGGAAGGAGTCCATTGTCTGGTGAACAGCGGTCGTCTGAGCAGGATGTGTCTGACGAGAGCTAAGGCTGGTGGCGAGTTAAGCACGTGGCTGTCTGGACTGGTGACCATTTACAAAGCACAGGCCGCTATCAACAGAGGAAGGGGCTCTAAGCAGGGTGCTGGCTGTCTGACCCAGCACAAACTACCCGTGGTGTCCATGCTCAGGTATGGTCACAGTCTCCTTGCTGTCCTTGTTAGGGGAGAAGCTGGGACAGTGGAAGGTAGACAGTGGCATGCATCCTCCCTGTGTCCCAAGGACTCGCCACGCGGATGCAAGAGATGGGTGTTTTTGCTGTCTGCGGCTCACAGATTGGAGAAGCCTCGTGGGCTTCCTTGGCACATATTGGGGAGAGATAACAGGGTCATTAGACCCCAGGGTAGGCATTCTGCATCAAAACACGGATTCTGTCTGCCTAGATGAGGCCTGAAACCACTGCCAGAGATCTGACCCTCTGTTCACGTTTCTGGCACATTTTCTCAACATTTGTCAGCTCTCTCCCCTTATTCCTGGCTCAAAGGAAAGGTTGTAAAAGAGGCAGAGGATTTTCTCTCCCTGAGCAGCGTAAGGGCAGCACCATGACGCCAGCATCTCCATGCACGCTGCAGTGACCACTTTACCAGGGACGGAAGGTGCTTTAGGAGCAGCGTCCAATGTAACTCTACACTGATGGGCTCATTCGCATGTCAGTGGCCAGAGGATGACCACATTGTGTTTCAATCCATGGTGGCGGGCGAGCAACCTTCGACAAACGCTATGTGAAAATATCCCAGTGGTATGGAAGCCAGAGACCCCTCTTGAGTCTCTCCTCGTGGGTTCTACCCTTGTGCTCAGCTCCACCTCAGGCTGTGCCTCGGGGCATGTTGGCCTCCAGAAGTGACCAAAGCAAGAGGCTATGGCCTTGCCTCCAGAAGACTCATGCCACCCAGGAGTGGCACAAACCAGGAGAGTGTCATCTCCCATGCTGGGGCTTGGAAACTGTGTACCAGGTTGTCATGTGCCTAGGGATGGAGGTGTGGAAGATCAGGATGTGTTTCTGGAAGGGGAAGTCCTCTGTGGCAGCTGTTGAGACAGGATCCGAAATGCAAACACATGCAGAGGGACACCGGCCTGGTGTCTATTTTTATGACATTAAAGTCAAACTTCACGACTCTCTGTAAGGGACCCTAAGCCCCAGCCGTGTCCTACATGGAGTCCTTTAATGGGACATCCACCACTGAGCCCGAATTGATGGGTGATGCTGGAGTTTGGGGTCCCCCTCACAGGTGATGGCACTTGTACAGCTAGAAGTTGGGGATGGGAATGGGCAGAACATTGGCCTGAGGAAGGAGAAGAGGGGATGAGCTTGTGGGTAGCGTGTGTCTGAGGCGCGGGCTTCTGAGAATGACAGTGGTGGACGGACACTGGCAGACACCCTTGGACATGAGGTGGAGATAACCAAAGGTTATCTGTCTCCCGGAGAGAGACATTCTTCTCTGACGTGTGTATGTGGGGGAGGGGGAATATGGTCATATCAACACACACACACACACACACACACACACACACACACACACACACACGTGCGCATGCACACTCACTGACCCCAGCGTGCAGATACCACACACCTTTACCCTGTGGAAATTCCATGTTCCTGCCCCCGGCTTCTCCTACCCTGGGGGAAGTGATGACCTATCTCCTAGGGGCTAGTTAGGCAGGTGTGCAGGGCTGTGGAACTGGAGAATCCTCAGCTCTGACCTCTCATTCGGGAAAGACACATACCAAACATAAGACTAGATTTCTAAGTAAAACTGTCTCATACACACAGAAACATCTCTAGGACCTGGAGAAGACGTCGCCACCCATCACCATCTGTCAACAGTGCGGCCACACCACACTGCCTGGCGTGTCTCAGGAAATTATCTTTTCTTCAACTCCACCAATAAAGAGTAATGCTTCATTGAGTTTTCTGTTATAATTGTTCATTGGTTCCATGGAAATATTTAATGTACATCATTGCTTTAAATTATGTGGGAGCATCAATGGGAGAGTGGTCCAGACCTTTGAAGTCCTTCTGGGCCCTGCCTGGCAAAGGATATCAGGCTCTTCCTCACCCCAACCAGTCCCATGAGCCACTGGGAGAGTCAGGTGAGAGGCTGAAGCACAGGACTGGAAACGCTGTCCTCCCTGGGGACACACTACTCAAGGAAGCTGGCAGAGTCGATGGCAGTAACGAGCAGCAGAGCTGTCTTCAGATGCCGGGAACCCTCACCCAGTAAGGCTGGACCTCTCATCATTCGAATGCAGGTCACCAAGGAAGGAAAACAGGCAAGTTTAAAATAGTTAACTGATAATACATTTGATCCCAATAAGTTCAAACCCCAGCCCCGTCATCTGTGGCGTCCTCAGGCAGGGGATGCTCCTCCCTGGGCTGCTGTCCAGACAAGAGTAGATAATTTCAGAGGCCCGAGCCATGAGCAGCCCTTCCCAGATGGTCACAGAGAATTGGAATAAGGGATTGCAAGTGGCCTTTCGTGACCCCTGGGACATGTGAGGACTGTCCCAGTGATCAAAACAGCTCACATCACAGTGTCAGAGGTCCTGAACTGCCTCTCCATTCTGTGCTTGCTTAGGGACATTTATGCAGGGGTGGAGTTTGTCACAGGAACAGGAAGTTCATGCTGGGGCACAGCAAGTTGTGGGTACGGGGCCTGGCTCAGCCCTGCCTGGCCTCATGCTGGGCCTTCCGGATCTAGGGACTCCTTCAGCACTCAGTGACCTGCTAAACTGCATGGGACACTTGGGAACGCCCCAGGCCTCAGGGCCCCACAGACTCAGGGCGGATTCCTACTGCTGGGTTGTGGTAAACTGCTTGTTGAGTTCTGGTTTGTACAACTGGCAATCAGAGGCCGTGACACACATCTCAGCGGGGTGTGGAAAACAACACGAAACGCAGGACGGAACCCTCTTCCCTTGCTGCCTTCACGTGTTGACCTCCTGGGCCCCGTGATGCTCTCTGCACACCACCTGCATCTTCTGCTGGCTTCCGCTTGGTTTTCTGCTGCCTCCCACCCCCACCCCCTTTGCCTCCGATTTCTGCCCACCTCCTTCTGCCCACCAACCCTTCCAGGGGCTCCTGCTCTGCTCGCAGACCCGTATGACACAGTCATTGTCACTTCAGCAGAGGAACCCGCTGGGGACAAGGAGGACAAGTGGTTCTTTTCTTTCTCCAGGGTGGTTTCAGATCAACGGGCGGGGGTGGCAGGACCCTATCAGCACCTCTTCCCTGCCCTCCACCCCCAGCCCCGGGGGTGCGGGGACTACCTGCACCCACACTCTGCCACACTCATGCCCTCATAGTGGTACTTGAGGGTTGGCACCCCCATGTCATCCTTGTAGAGGATGGAGATGGGGCTCAGTTTGGTGGGAACACAGCAGGCTTTGCCCACCTTCGTGGGGAACTTGAGATGCGCCAGCGTCTGCACAATGGCGTGTTTTGTGGGCGTCACGTCGTCAGCCAGGGGGAAGAAGCAGCCTCCTTTACACTCGTAGGCGTCATATTCCTTGGGTGCAATGATCCAGCTGTCCCAGCCAATGTCCTCGAAGTTCACCCTGAGGGACATCCGCTGGCAGTGGCTGCTGGTCCCGGTGCTCCTCTTCCTTCTGGCTAAAAATGGTCCCGCCGCGGTGTGCTCACCCACTTCCTCCTCGTCATGGCTCTCACCGGCCTCCTGGTAGCCGCTTTTGGATGTCTTCACCAGCGCGGTTTCCTGCTCGTGGCCGATCATCTCCTTCAGCTCCAGTCTGGTCTCCTTGGTCCCATTACTGCGGTCATTGGAGAAGACGACAAAGAAGGGTAGGTTTTTGGAGCCTGGTGGGACACTGATGTCCAGCGTGTCGCAGCCCTTCCTGTGGCTCTCCACGGTTACTTCCAGCTTGTTTTTGTTTGTGGTGGAGCCTGCCCTGACCCATCGCTTCACAGCACTCGAAACTTCCAAGGTCTCCCAGCCTTCATACCGAATGTCCTGGGATACCAAGAAGGTCTTGGTCCCTGAGGCGCCATTCCAAGTGTCATCCCCATCCAGAACATCGTAAACAACCATGTTTCCTTCCAGCACATGAGTGGAGCCCACACGGTTTTGACAGGAGACATAGAGACGGAGCTCAGCCCTGGTGATCTGCTCGTGTCTAGGGATGGAGATGTTGAAGATCAGGATGTGTTTCTGGAAGGGGAAGTCCTCTGTGGCGGCTGTTGATATGGCGTCTGAAATGCAAACACATGCACAGGAGCATCTGCCTGGTGCCCATTTTTATGATACTACAGCCAAAGCTCATGATTTGCTAAGGGGGACATCTGGGACGATGGATTTAGTCACTGTTGTCTCCAATCTGTGTCGAGAGCATGCAGGAAGTTTCTCTTAGGATTTTTCCAGGAAAAACAGAAGCAGGAACCTTCAGCTGGGGTTAATAGTATCTACTATTTATTGAGCACCTACTATGTCTCTGGCATTATACTGAGTTTGGGAGGATCTAGTTATTATCCCAACTTTGTACATATGGAGTTCAGTCTCCATAGCTTTTTACTGTCAGAGTACACGCAGGTAATCGGCACCCTTATCTATGTCAGGCCAGAAAATACATTGTTACCTTTAGAGGGAAGATTCGACAGTCCTGGCTGGGGCAATGAAAGTCCATATTTAAGTAAAGTAAAAAAAAAATGCAGCGTTAGAGTGTTTAAATATTTTGGAATAATGTTAATAACTTCCATCAAAAGTAAAAGTGGATTTATTTTTTTAAGAGAAAAAGTATTTTCATCCCAACAGTTTTGTCATGTTGGGCAAAAACGGGCATCTTTTCTTAGCCTCAGTTTTCCACTTCTGGGCTCGGTTTGACCACAGACACCGCCTCTTGTGAGTTCCCGCCCACACGCCATGGCTGCTTTATCCTTGGGACACATGTTCTGACACACGCAGTGGATGCCTGTGAGCACAGCTATTTCTGAGCCCTGGACAGTGTTCCTTCCATATGCATGTCTGTGCTAACGTGCAATGTGTAAACCAGGCGCGGTAAGACCGTGAGTAAGGAAACCGAGAATTAAAAAATAATCTCACCTGTGATACAAGTAATCTAGAAATTATGAGTCATATTTTTTTTATTTAACCACAGTAGAGCCTCAGAAAGAGGCCTGGAGTCTCTCAGATTAGGGGGATTCCTGTATGTGCCACCATGAACAGAGATCATGCTGTTTCTGAAACCTAGCAAGTTGTCTAAAGAATGGAGTGTCAGTCCTAACTCTGTCCCTCACTTTTAAGCTCCTCGGTGCCTCAGTTTCCTCTCTTGTGGAATGGGGCTCATCTTACCTGCTTTTTTTTAAATCAAGGTAGCACATGGGACTTATAGGCCAGTCCTGAGATAATGGATGATGTTCAGTTAATATTTCTGTCCCCGTCCCAACTCGTGCAAGCCCAGTGCTGTGACAAAGCATGTGGCCCTTTACTCAGGCTCTCTGTGGACTCCTCACTCAGCACGGATGTGCCGTTCCAGTTCCTGAGTAACGTGGTGATACCACGGTGTATCAGAACAGTGAGAACTGTGCATTGCATTCACGACCCAAGGCGACCTTACTGTGACATATCTCTACCGAGGTCATTGGACCACTGTCAGACATGAGAAATCCCATGCCCACTGGGATTAGATGGATGTTTCCTAGTTCGTGTGTGTGTGTGTATGTGTGTGTATGTATTTATATATGTGTGTGCATGTATGTACTTATATATGTATGTATGTATGTGTGTGCATGTATATGTGTTGTTGATGTTGGTGCTGTTCTTGCTGCTAACTCATGTAATAACTGTGTCAAGGATATTTGTGTAGGTGGGCTTGTGTCTCTAGCTGGTCTTCACATTCCAACCCATGGAATATGATTATTTAGATCCCAATAAAAGCAAAATAAAACGTCAAGAACAACAATAAAACCCCCCAAACCCAGTCTTTCTCCAAGGCAAACATCATAGACAATCCCAGGGCCCTGGTGACCTGAAAACTATGTTTTTAAAAAATGAATCCATATTTTTTAAAAAGGCAAGTGCCCTTGAAACGTCTGTTGGGCAGTCAGAAAACTTAGGAGTACTGAGCATGCGTGTTGATCACAAGTGTCCTTAGATTGGTACACGCTCTGCAGGCTGGACAAATCTGGCCAGAACTGGCTATGACTCTGAACTGGGATCTTTGGGCAAATCCTGGACCAGAAATGGGGAGGCCCTGTGCTCCTGGTCCTTCAGAGTGAGATGCCATAGCAGGATAAGGGGAGCTGGTTTGGTGCAGGAAATAGGGCCAGTGACATGAACTTGCAAGTGTGCCTGGCCTGGGTTCCTCAGCCCTGCCAACCCGGCCTTTCCGTCCAGTAACTCATTCTACCCAGATCTCTGGAAATCTGTGATGTATCAGTTACTGACCTCACCTCCATGTTCATCTAGTCTTCCTATAACGAGGACGCTTACATTTAAAACATACTGGACAGAAACGCCTGCTGTGCTGAGGAAGATTACATCGACTCTATTAACATTTTAAAATCTAGGTTTAAAAGGCTCATTAAGAGAGAGACTGTCTTTCCTTCAAAGCTTAAAAATATACCAGCTTATTGGAGCTAAACGAGCGATCTATTTCTAAGTCCAAAAGGGACAGGGAGAGAGAGAGAAGTCAAGAGAAAGGGAAGGGGGGGGCAGGAAAGGGAAGTGAGGAAGAGGGAAGGGGAGGAGGGGGAGTGGGAAGGGGAGGAGGGGGAGCGGAAAGGGGAGGAGGGGGAGCGGGAAGGGGAGGAGGGGGAACGGGAAGGGGAGGAGGGGGAGCGGGAAGGAAAGCAAAGGAGACAGAAGGCAATAGAAGTGAGGGGAGAGAAGAGGAGAAAGGACAGGGGAAGGGGTCAGAAGAAAGCAGAACCCTGGCACCCTCACTACTTGTTGGGTTAAATGTCTATGCCCCAGGGAGGAGCCAGGCAGTCCATCAGATCCTTCAGTGTTGATGGTCAGGCCCCATGATGCGTGCTGCCCTGTAGGGAAGCCGTTAGGCACACACAAAAGTTGAAGTGGGTACTTCCGTTTCCACCCCGTTTTCCTGTAATGCACTTCAGTATAAACTGGGAGATCTGTTTGTGGGGGCAGGGTGCTGTAGGTATGTCCCACCCCTCGGGACCCCTCGGGAAGCACTATGCATACCTTCCACACTGAAGCTCCGAACGATGTTGGAGGCAGGAGTGGACGACTTGTCGCTAGTGTACCTGTTGTACAGGTCAATCATGTACTGGGGTGTCTCCACTCTGGTTTTGCCCTGGGAGGGAATGCCGCTGAGGTTAAGGCTGTGCAGAAAATCCACCTTCATGTTCTCCAGGAACATCTTCAAGTCAAAGAAGCCCTCCTCTCCACCTCCAGACAGCCCCAGGATGCTGCCGGCGTTTCCCCCCGGGGATGCCTGGTCCCAACTCTTCAGCGGCTTCTGTTGTGTGGGACACACCAGCAGGGACAGCATGAGCAGGGCCACCCAGGAGGCCCCAGGGGACATCTTGGGCCCTGAAGGGGGTCTCCGCCGGGCTGTCGTGGTGTGTCACCGGGTGCAGCAAGGAGCCCAGGAGGAACGGGCCCACATTGCCCTGCTGACAGCTCAGCAGGGAGCCTGGCTGGCTCAGTTCTCCTCAGCAATCTGAAGGCCTCTACACTTCTTATCTGGGTGTGGATGCTATGCTCGGACCTCTTATCTGAGGCAGCTCTCTTTAATGAAGACTGTATAAACATCTGACAAGTACTGGGGCTGGGGGGAAGGACTCCGTCGACTACTGAAGAGGATCCGCATTTCTCTGGGGGTCATCCACCCTAATTAGGATCTTTGTTCATTTCCTTGCTGCCTTCGTCAGAAGACTCTCCGGGCAGGGGGATGCAGACCCCACCCCCTGGACCACAGGAACAAAGAATCCAGGAAACGAGAGGCCGGGAAGTTCCCCAATATATAGAAAGCCCACCAAGTACCCAGGAGATGCCACAGACCGTGGGGGCACCGAAGGTGGGGTGAGGTGAGGGCTGTGCCGGGGTTGGTGAAGGCTGGTCCTTATGCTATCAGGGCCTGGCAGTGTAACTAGGCACTGCTCTCCGAGGAAAGGGCTCCTAAGTACTAAGAATGGAGTGTGCATGGGCCCAGAACACTCAGCGCTCCGATGACGTCACACGCAACGCAGATGAGGCCTCCAGACCCAGCTCCTTTGCCTGTTCCCCTAAGCTGTGGCCTCAGCTCTTTGAGCCTCCCTTTCAGGATCATAGAGGTAAGAACTTAGAAAATGTGTTTACATACATGTAGGCAGCCACTGCCAGCTCCTAGTAGTGGGTGGTTATAGTCAAGCAGCCCTCCAGGGCTGGGTCTGACTGAGTGGATCTTGGGGAGGAAACTCTGTGTCAAGGCCAGTGGCTCCTCAGTACCGCAGACATATGTATCCAGAGACCCTGAGTTCTAGACCCGTCCCTGGCCTGTGTGGTGCTTGTGTATGCAACAGCATATGTGTAGGGGTGTGTGTGTGTGTGTGTGTGTGTATGTGTGCATGTATGTTCAGAGTGTGACTTGGTTCATGTCAGTGGGTCATACCTATCAACCAGGGGACCCACTCACAAGTTGAATACACAGGAGCAGTTGGGCAGTTCTGAGACTGATCCCATGCCCAGAGATGGTTTCTAGCCTGTGAAGGCCGCTTGTGATAGCCCAAGGACAGTGTTTATTTTAAGAGTGGTGTCCCCAGAATAAAGGAGAGCAAGAAAAGAGGAACCATAATGGAGGCAGCCATTACAGGTTTAAAGAGAAATCTGGCACTGGGGAAATGTCCATAGATCTACAAGATTGACCCCAACTAATAATCTAAGCAATAGTCGAGAGGCTACCTTTAATGCCCTTCCCTGATAATGAGATTGACGACTACCTTATATGTCATCCTAGAGCCTTCATCCAGTAGCCGACAGAAACAGAAGCAGACACCCACAGCTAAACACGGAGCTGAACTCTGGAATCTGGTTGTAGAGAGGGAGGCGTGATGAGCAAGGGGTCAAGACCTGGCTGGAGAAACCCACAGAAACAGCTGACCTGAGCAAGGGGAGCTCATGGACCCCAGACTGATAGCTGGGAAACCAATATAGGACTGACCCAGAACCCCTGAACGAGGATGATAGTTTGGAGGTCTGGTTAATCTATGGAGTCTAGCACACGAATGGACTTTGGGAGCCCATTCCACATGGAGGGTTACTTTCTCAGCCTAGACACACAGGGGGAGGTCTAGGCTCTGCTCCAAATGATATGACAGACTTTGAAGATCCCCCATGGAAGGCCTCATCCTCCCTGGGGAGCAGAAAGGGGATGGGATGGGGGCTTGGTGGGGCTCAGGGGAGGAAGGGAGGGAGAGGGAACTGGGATTGACATGTAAAACAAGAATGTTTCTAATTTAAATTAAAAAGGGGGGAGAAAAAAGAGTGGTGTCCCCATACTTAGCTTCCATCTATCTCCATCACAAGTGGCATTAATTAAAGCAAAGAAAGAGCACAGCTAAAAATATTTGGAAAGTGTGGTGGTCTACTGCAGGCAAGAGGGGCTACAGTGTTCTGTGCTGTTGGGGCTCCTGGGAAGAGGGACCACAGGGCCAAGAAAGTTCAGGAGGTTGCAGGATGAGCAGGGCAGGCTGTGGTCAGAGAGCTCAGAGAGGGAGGGTGGACTGGACTCCCACCTGTACCCGCGCTTTGGGGATACCATCAGGGCAGAAGGGAAGGCCACAGCTGAGGAGCCATGCTTGTGAGCGGAAAATGCAGTGTCCTGAGCACCGACTCCATGTAAGAAGTGTAAGGGCTGGGAGAAGACAGATGGGACAATCCCAGGGCCAGGAGATGGGGCTGAAGCTGCAGTGCTAGCGGGCCCGGGGGGGGGGGGGGGGGCTGGAGGGTGATCTGGGCAGTCTCTCCGTGTGCCAGAGCCTCTGGGGCCAACCCGCGGCACTCAGAGGCTGAGCACAAGAGGCTCCAGGGAGACGGCATGTGCACTGGGCAGTGCAAAGGGCAGCTACCCAATACTTTTTTTAAAAAAAGAAGTTGGCAAAATTTGACCCCAATAATGACAACAGCGTATGGTGTGGAAAACTGGAGGAAGCCAAACTTAAAGGAGATAAAAAACCATCCACAGCCTTGTGACCCAGTCAACAGTCTGACATGCGCAGCTCTGTAAGTCTCTGCCAAACTCTGGTGACCTGGAGTGCTAGTGGGACTTGGAGAGCTTCAGACTGATGCCAAGTCATCTCGTCCAGTTGCTGTGTTGTGGGAGAGACACAGCTGGGTGAACACAAGAGGTGTATTTGGCTCATCGACTTATTTCAAGCGTCACTGAAACCTGTCCTCCCAAGGTGGGCACTTGTGGTTTCAGCTGTTGTGGAGCTGAGAAAGGGTTCACCTGAGTGTCCATAGCACAATTGCCCTAGGCTGTCAGGAACTAGAACATACCACTCTGAGCACACTTCTCTCTTCCTTGCAGCTCCATTGTTTGTTTTCTGTTTCTCGAGACAGGGTTTCTCTGTGTAGCCCTCATTGCCCAGGAACTTGCTCTGTAGACCAGGCTGGTCTGGAACTCACAGAGATCCGCCTGCCTCTGCCTCCAGTGCTGGGATTAAAAGGCGTGCGCAACCATGTCCAGCTTCCTGTAGTTATCGAGAGACACACTACATGCAATTGTCTAGAGGAACGTCCCCATGCAACAGACATGCTCATAGAAGCTGCAGGGAGTATCTGAAGGTAGGAAGGGCTGGAATGGATTACTTCCCAGATCTGGGCAGAGCTTCCTTGAGAACCTGTTTCCAGTTGGCCCATGATAAGCACCGATTCATTGAATGTTCCTGGCCTGTGACAGTGCCCGGTAAGCTTACTGTTTAGAAATGTAGTTCTGAAATTGTGGCCCAAGGACCAGCCACACTAACACCTAGGAGGTGCTTAGAAACACAAAGGCTCAGAATTCATCAGAAAGCTGTGTGATCTCAGCAGGTGGTTTTGAGGCACGTTCAAGTTGAACGCTAGATACGGCCTTATTTGGGGGGTCATGTGCTAGTTCCCCTCCCTGTGTGAGTGTGTGAGTGTGAGTGTGTTTGTACAGGTGTGTGTGTGTGCCCACGAGTGTGAGTGTGTGTGTGCCCATGAGTGTGAGTGAGTGTGTGTGTGCCCATGAGTGTGAGTGTATGTTTTGATAAACATTTGCTCTAAGCACGGAGCTTTTGATAACATAGGACAATTGTATGAGTCTTTTACAAAATGAAACATGAAGAAGTAGTTGTCCCTCAGAATTCGTGGGAGATGAGCCCAGGATTCCCACACACATACCAAAATCTGAGGATGCTTCAGTTTCCTTTATGAAAACATCTGGAGAGATGGCTCAGCAGACAAAAGCACTTGCTGCTCCTTCAGAGCAACTGAATTCAGTTCCTGTCACCCATGTCAGACAGCTCACATCGCCTACAACTGCAATTCCAAGGCATCTGGTGACCTCTCCTGGTCTCTGTGGACACTTGCACTTACATGGTGCAAACACACACACACACACACACACACACATACACACAAATCAAAATATATCTTTAAATAACCACAAAGAAATGCAGAGATGAAATAATGCAAATCCTGTCAATAGATAAGGCAATTCCTCTGATCTAATCATTGTATTGTGTATATGAATTAAAATGCTATGCTACACCTTACAGATAAGTGCAATTTCTATGTGTCTATTCAAAGACAAAATATATTCTAAAATAAAATAAGATTACCCCAAGTTGTTATAGTGTACAATTTAGAGAAAAATCCCTGCACACAGTTACAGGTACACTCCACCCACCAAGTGTTTTCAATCCCAGGGTGAATCTAAGAATTTGGAGTCCACAGATATGGGGTGGGGAGTTGTTTAACAGATATTTGACACACAGAAGATGTTGAATATTTGAATAAATAAACAGAGCTACTTACACCTTTTCACTCCCAGCTCATCCGATCAAGAGTGCTGGGTGAGACTAGAGGAGGGAGCCTAGGACTGAAAGAGATGTAGGTGACGATTGCCAGAGGCAGGGAAGGGGACCCCACTCCAATGAGCATCACCAGCTTGGAGAGGAGCATGGAGAACAGAAACCTGAGTAACCTCATCATCCATGGAAGCTTCTGTTTCCAGGTGTTGGCAGAGTAGAACAGACTAAGGGGAGCTCTGATTTCGGTGCTGTTGGACACAGCACACAGTCAGAGCTTGTCAGCAGCTCCACTCCTGGTCTCCCTGCCAGGCCACCTCTTACCCTCCTTGATGCACCAACATCAGATGCTCAAATGCAGGTGACACCTGCAATGTTCTCCTCAAGCCAAGACCAGCTCTTCCTTCTCATCCGACCCCACAGCTGCCCCACCACGTCCTTCTGAAGGCCTGTTCTCATGCCTTTCCACCCCTACCAGACATCTGTACGTTTCTCCACCATAGAGGCGCCATCTCCATTCTGGCTACAGAAGCAGCATTAGGTCCAGGCATCTGGTGGCTGTTATGGTGTTATGAATGACGTGTACATGCAGAGGCACTTATTAGAATGCCCCAGACCAGCTACCTGGTCTCACCAAGATTCTGCTCTCACACTCTTATCAAATCCGAGCCAAACCTGAAACTTCTCAGAGCCTGGATTTTGATCTGAGGAACTACTCTCTAAGATGTTGTAGTCTTCCTTTTAGAGGATGTACAAGTTCAAGGTCATAATCCACTGGCAAGCTACCAAAGTTCTCCCTCCAGCCCAGCCCAGGCTCAACTGAGTGGCCTCAGGGACCCATGAATATCTACGCAGTGTTCTGGAACCTTTTGGTTCTGGGAACAATGTAATGTTATGCTTTGGTTTTAAGGAGAAAGATGTAATTTTGTGAATACATTCATCCTAGACCTCACCTTGCAGTGACTGTATTCACTGCCATTGAAGTGATCCTTTATACTCTCAGAAGGGCCACTAGTTGGGAAATTCATGGGCAGTATTGGCCATGTTGTCCTTGACCCAAACAACTGTCAGCATCAAACCTGAAGTTACCTGTGGCCTTCATAAGGCACTGGTGAGCACATTATATGTTGTATGACTTTTTTCCCGGAGACATTCATTGGTTGTTGAATTGTGAGGCAATTCTGCGGCAAAATAGATATTTCATCTGAAATAAAGGCTGCTGTTTAAATTAGAGGGGGTCAACAATGACACCACTCTTTCCATTGCCGTGGGGATGTCATCATTCACATGCCCAATTTACCACACCTCCAACTCATCTTGACATAAGGCCCAGGGCCCCCCGAGTACTACGTATGCACTCTGCACTGTCCTGAACCCATGCCCATGGCTGGACCCCAGTCAGAGCCTCTCAGGTTGTTCTAACTCATCCCAGAAATCTAGAGACGAAGACTTGGAAGGGTCGCAGGCCTTTGAGAATTTCAGTGGTCTCCCAGAAAGTATAGATGGCAGAGGGAACCAAATGAAGCTATCACAGGTATGGTAAGCCAGCCAACGGCTCAATGGGAAAAAATGAGTGGGGAAGGCAACAGCAGGATCTAATATTTGGAAGAAAGGGTGGAATTGTTTCAAGACCCAATATTTTATTTTGCTGTTCTTATAATTATATTCTACTGTGTTTCAAAAGCATTTGACATGGCAAGAAAAGCACTAAGTCTGAGATCAGTTGGAGGCATTCGCATCATCTACAACAGCTTAGAAGGGCTCACTTAACTTCACGCACGTCCCTTCATGGAGAAAGGACTAAGATGGCCTGTGTTGGTGGGCATGGCCCTGTCTCACCTGGCTAACGAACATGGGTGGCTGTGTATGCCCGTGGCCTAGGGTGCGTGGAGCACCTCCGAGGACAGGGTGAGGGTGCTGATGGGTTCTGTGAAGTCCACGTGTGTCTTTCTCATGCTTACCCATCCAGGATGCTTCTGCAGGTCTCCCAGACCACAATGCTGTCACTGGAACCTTCTTCAGAGATTGCCCAGGCTTCCCAAGCCACCGGGGTCACCTGAGCAGAGGGCCGTGGAACTGGGCACTGGCAGTTCACTCAGGACGGCCTGGAAGCAGAAGCTCCTCCACATCCAACTCCCCTTCCCCAAGCTGTACTCACCGACGGGCTGTGCAGACGGCAGAGCCCCCCTCAGCCCAGGTGGATGTGGTGGTTGGGTGGGGGTGGTGTGCCCAGGTCTTCCTCTCACCTGCACTTCTCAGAGAACTGAGCTCAGTACCCCTGCCTCGCTGTCCTCAGTTCCGTCTTCTCTCAGCTTTGGCAACTTTACAGTCCATGCGGTGAGGCTCCAGCCAGTGTTATTCCCCAGGACATGGCTGACTGGACTGTGGTATTTCTACCTCAGATTGGGCCCGCGTTCCTCCTTTTAAAAATGCCCAGCCCCACGCTTCAGGAATAACCACCATAAGGAAGGCAAGAATCATGCCAGTGTTATTCATAGTAGAGTCCTTCGGGGTGGCTGTTTGTGACTTGGCTGCTGGGAGACAGACATACATCCTACAAACATCCTCTAGTACTGTGAACCTCCTGAGAAATTCCCTAACTGGTTATGTCAAATCTGTTTTTATTGTCCCAACTGAAAGACCCGTTCTTGTCACTCAAGACAAAAGCTGCCACAGACACCTGCCAACCAACTAGGTCAGGGGTATGAAGAAACTCGAGGAAGGTTACTCTACCATCTTGGAACCTCACCCCATTTTGATGTTAATCCAGAGTAGGGATTTACAGAGTGGATAAAGGAACAATTGATAATTTGGAATGGGTGACATTCAGTTTTCCCAGATATCGCTGTACCTTTAATTTATTAGCTTTCCATAAAAACACAGAACACTCACAATCTACAGTATACAAAGTATAATTTACAAAAATATAAAATCTTGGTTATTTTTTAGTATTCCAACATTTTACTGCACGTGTTATCTCCACATGCATGTTCAAACAGCCCACATGTAACCTGCACTAATACCTCTGTGGGGGATGGGGTTAACGCTCTCCCTTTTGTTTTAAAATAGAGAATACATATATTAAAGGAAGAGGCCAATCTCGACTGCATATGCACATTGCATGTATAAAACTGTGTAGTGAAAACGTAGGAGAAAACATTCATGCCAAGATTGAGGCCCCATTTCTAGTATGTATTACAGTATTACAGCCTGAGGGTTGTAAATGAGCACTTAGATTTCCACAGGGGTGAGTACCCCAAGATTTGCATAGTCTTTCCAGGTTTTGAGATGATGAATGCATGAAATTGATATTGTGCATACATGCTATTTCCAGGCCTTGAAAAATGTGGGTAGGGCTGACGGGCAAACTGCAGACCACAGTTAATTCCAGATACCTGCCAGGAACTCAGAAAGTCCTTACAGGGCTACACTAGCAGGGAAAGGCTGAGCAGCGATGGCACTGTGTACAGATCTTTCTAGGTCCCAACAGGGTTACCTACAAGCTCGCCTCGCACCTGGAACTGCCCCGAGTCAAGTCCTGGCTCCAAGCACGCCACTCCGCGGGGCAGGGCTGTCTTCCGCCTCGCAACCATCTCACCGACAGGCACAGGTCTCTACAGACATGTTGGGGTACACCTTCAGAACCGCGTTCCGGTTCTCATCCAGGAAAAGGACTCCAAGGGAGTTCATCTTGTCTGGAACACAACAGGGCTCCGGGATGCCAGGGACGATGCCCACCGCTCTGACGATGCTCTGGATGGTGGCATGATTGGATGGGCGGACAATCTGCAAGATGAGAAAAGACAGCTGAGCGCTCAGGGCTTACCGCCGCGTCTCGAATAAGGCCATGCAAGGCTGGAAGCAAAGGCTTCTGCCCAGAGCTGGACACGTTTCCTCTGAAAGCAGCTACAGGCTCAGTCCTGGTGCTCCATGCCCACTTATTTCTAGCCTGCTACTCGAAACTGGCCACTTGGGGGCGCCTGCGCATCACCTTCCTAGGAGCTAAGCTGGAAGCTTTTGCAAGCCCAGAGCCACGCTTCAGGCAGCAGACATGACTCTGGAGCCACCCTGGCTATAATTAAAATGATATGCCTAGTGTGGCACAAGCTGCAGACAGGCATTTCAATATGCACTTGACGTAGGGTGACGGGTGCAGCGTTAGGGCATCATCTCATCTTGATGTCTTATTAATCTATATGGACAATATGGCCTTCATTTTACTGACACAGACACCGAGGCTTAAAATGGCTAAGAAACACAATCAAGATGCCTCCGTTAGAAAGTGTCTTGGCTCGGAAACTGGCCGCTTCTGAAAAGATGAACACGGACAGCCAGGTGATGGGTCTCAGCTCTTGGCTGGCTGCAGAGGTTGCAGCGGAAGCGGAGAGTGGGGTTGAGGCAGCGAGAGAAGGGCATGAGTACCTACGGGTGAGGGGCTCAGCTGGCGTTCTGAACGTGGGGAGACAGCAAGCCAGTCTGATGAAGCTAGAAGATGTAAGAGCACATCTGCCCTGGGCCCACGCAAAACCCATCAGCGATCACCTCTCTCTACCGGCTGCCTCTTGTACAAGCATGGGTCTCTTCCTCTCTCTTGTACAAGCATGGGTCTGAGGGGAAGCCCCTGAATTCCAGACAGATTATACAGCCCCCATCTGGGCCCGGGATTTCCCATGGCTATTGAGGTTCTCGATTGGATTTATGTACCAACTTTCTTTCTTGGAAGACATACCGCAGAGGAGTCTGCAGAGTTAGCTAAGCAAGGGACGCTGCTGTGGGTGCTGAGGGGTGACCTGGGCAGCCTAGTCCAGCACAGGCGGCAGACAGGTGGGTGGAGTTAAGTCAGCCTGGGGGAAGGTGAAAACTCAGGACCAGGAAGATAAAATAGTCCAGCACTATGTATCTTTTAGACCACTGTGCTGGCTGGGCTGCTGGGTGCACCAAACCAGGGGGAGCCCACTGGGAGAGCACTGACACCAAAAGCAGTCTGACGGTGAAGATTCCTGCTCCTGGTTCAGACCAGAATAGGTAGGAAGGAGAGTCTTGGTCAGACGGGAACGTTGAATACCTGCCTTGTCCACAGGAGGGCAGCACTGACCCAACCTCCAAAGACGCCTGTTCTGTGGGAATGTCCTTTCTCTGCGTTTAGGAAGCCATACCTCGCTTTGAAAATCCCAATTCAGTAGGACCGTGATACAAACCTGGTACATGAACCAGCTTGTTGGAGCCCACTCCCTATGGTGGGATGCCATGCTCAGCCTTAATGTATGGGGGAGGGACCTGGCCCTGCCCCCAGGCTACGTTGGCTCCTCCTAGGAGCCCTTACTGGTTAGGAGGAGTGGACTGGGGGGGGGGGGATGGGAGGAGGCAAAGGGGGGCAGGAGTGTGGCAGGGAGAACTATAATTGGAATGTAAAAAATTTTTAAAAATAAAAAATGGCAAAAATAAAAATAATAAAATTAAAATTAATAAAAACCCTCCCAATTCAAAGCAAAGCATAGTGGCACATGTCTTCAATCCCAGAAGCTGGGAGGCTAAACAGGAGAACTGAAGCCAGTCTGAGAAACGTGCAAACAGATAGTCTCAGCAAAAAAATTAAAGTCAACGTTTAAAAAAGCACCACCAAACCAAATAAACCCTATCAGGCTGTGGGGCACCTCTGTCTGTCTACTCCTGCCTCTGCAGACAGGAGATGTAGCGTCTCCATTTTGTAAATGATGAAACAGGCCAGGCAAACAGAGGGATGGCCACCAGGGCAGAACCAAGTCAGAATGAGACAAGATCAGAGCAGGGAGGTGGTACCTTGGGCATGGGGAACTCGCAGGCCCCCGCGCAGTAGTAGGCATCGAAGGATTTCGGGGAGATGATCCATTCATTCCACCCGATGTCCGCAAAGTCCACTTTCAGGTACCGCCTGGAGCAGACCCGTGGCTCATCCCACTGCCTCCGCCTGGCTTTCTGCATCGTCTTCTCGTCAAAGTCCAGCACCTGCGAGGAGGTGGCGAATGTATCCTGTTCCTTCTTCTTGCGGTCTTTGCGCCCGGTGCGGGGTTTCAGAGCCCGGAAAGGGCTGGGCCAGAACTCGTGCTTATGGTAGTGCGGGGCAGCATGCAGGGCAGGTGCCGGTCTCTCATCCAGTCCTGGCAGTTCATTGCCCTGCAAGGGCCCAGAGACATGAGCTGCCCGGCGCACGCGGGGGTCCGCTGAGCTGTTGGGGGCAGCGCGAGGCTCCAGGTCTCCGGCTGGAAAGGGGTCGTATCTCTGCAGCGTCACGGCCACACTGTTGGGTTCTGAGATGGCCAGGTCATTGGCATAGACAAGGATATAGGGCATGTGGGTGCTGGGGCTGGGTATCCCGGGGTCTTTCTCCCCAGAATCCAGTTGGGCAGAGAGGAGCAGTTCTCCATCTCTCCGGGCAGCCTTGACAATGGATGAGATGTCCTTGGCCTGCCACAGCCCACGTGGTGGAGGCGCCAGGGCCATGGCCCCGCGAAGCAGCCCCTGAGTAGCGGTGTTCTGGGAGAGGCTGCGGAAGATTAAGTTCAAACGTGCTGGCAGACCTGGGGTCAGGAGGCGGCAAGAGGCATTCTTGGCTCGCGGTTTGCAGAGAACCTCACGTGCCCGAGGCCACCGCGGGGGTTCTGCATGGAAGTGGAAGGTGGCTGTGAGGATTATTTCCGAGTCTTGCATGGACGTCAAGTTGAAGAAATACACGGGCGTCTTCTGGTCGACCGCATCTGTAAGGGAAAAGCAGACCTGCTAGATTTTCTCCTGCAGGGCGTCCTGTTCTTGGGTTTCTGCCCAGAACGGGGACAGGGGAACAGAGGGTGGTGACCAAGTCTGTAAGACCCTAAAGCCCCTGCTGTTTCCTCCTTGCCTCCCACTGGCTTTCACAGAACAAAAGAGCATCACTGACACCTTTATTAAGAGTTCATGATGGTTTGGGTCAGGTCCAAGACCTGCCTCAAGGCAGCAGCTGGTCCGGTATCTGCCCAGCACGCTGTACTATGCAGTTTTTAAAGGCAACTTGTGTAAAATGTGATCATTCTTCTAGATGAAATGGAATAAGGAGATCTTCATCATTTTTTGCTGCAGTCTTAAACCTTTCAAGGTAATATAGGGTGAAGACCACAGGTGTTTGCTGTTTGTTCTACCCTAGGATTTGTAAAACAAAAAATACAGACAGGCATAGTGATGCATGTCTTTAATCCTGGCAGAGGCAGAGAGAGGCAGAGGCAGAGGCAAGTGGATCTCTGTGAGTTCAAGGCCAGCCTAGTCTACAGAGTGAGTTCCAGGACACCCAGAGCAACACATTGAGACCCTGTCTCGAGAAACAAAAAATTTTTTTCAAAGCGATAGCAATATGGGGACTATAGTATGTCACTCCACTCCAAGGCTCACATTGCCATCTGGAGACCCACACTCCAACTGAGGAAGGCCGGGCACATTCAGCAGTCACATGTGTTTGGAGAAAGCTTCTGCTTTTGCTTTCCAGGGGCAGCTGGAAGCCCTTTCCTTCTGGCGTTCCCCAGGGTCACCTACAGCCCCAGCCTTGACAGCAATGGAAACTCTCCGCAATGAGGATGTCTAGGATACAGAAGGAGAACAGGTCTTTTTTGGTCACTGCCACCTCAGCATACTGCAGACAAGGAGGAGACCAAAGCGGCTGGGAGGACTTCATCCTTCTCCAGCAGAATGTCTATCTGCTTTGCATAGCTAGGGAAGGATCAGAGCTTGTAAGCCCAGGATGTGTATGGGGAGGGGGGGGCAGTACACTCTCCAAGAGACAGGCTGTCTGTCTATATGACACCTGTATCCAGAGTATGAGCTGGGATCATTTTCCAAGGCCCAGAAAGGGGCTCAGTGGTTAGAGCACTCGCTGCTCTTGTAGAGGATGCAGGTTCGATTCCCTACATGATAGCTCACAACTGTTTGTAACTTTACTTCCAGAGGATTTAATGTCCATATTGTACATATCCACTCGCACACAAACAGAAAGTAATAATAAAAAATAAAAATTTAAAAAATTCTCAAAATATCTACCCACTGGATATTTTATTTCTATTGGGAAGGAAGACGACTCTATTGGGAATATTCAGGCCCTCTTAACAGCCTCACAACGTATAAGGAAAGTGGACACACCTATAGCAGGCTGAGTAGAGGCTGAGGCTGGTCCCACGCAGCACCACACAGGTACATCAGCCCTTCCCTGTGTTTCATGTGTCAACTGATGCCGGGTCATGCGGACTTGAACCTGGCCTCCCAGAACTCTGTGGGTCTGAGTGACATGACGTGGAGGCCCACATCCTAACTAACCCATCTGGGGGTTATGGCTATGGGGGAAATTGGAGAATCACTCACATCAGAGGAGGTGTGTGTGTGAACGTGCAGAACTTTGTAGCTGGAAGCTACAGGGGGGTGTCCCTGCTCTTGACCTCAGCCTGGGGCTCATGGTAGACATCCAGGGGATAGCCTGTGCCACTTTCTGCCTCCCACTCACTGACCTGCCTATAGGGAAGTTCACTATCTGCATGCGACACACACCTCTAAGCTGGAAAACACCCTAGAAAAAAAAGATCCAGGCCCTAGAGCAGAACATCACACTCTAAGCCTTATTCTTTCATTAGTCACATAGGAAGATGAGGACCCCCAGGTTCTGGGATCCTTGGAGGACTAAGGAAATGGCACATGCCATATGCTTGGCACAGGGGTGTTCACAAAGGTTCTTCCCTGCATTGTCATTTAAAGGATCAAGGATGGCAAACCAAGGGTTTCCTATACAAACTCAAACATGCTCACCCACTATCTAGTCTCTACAACATCTGACTTGGCAGCTTTAGCTTACCTTTAATCTAGGTCAGGTACTTCCCCGTCAGCTATCCTGCTCATTGGTCCAGAGAGGGGAGGAGCCTCCAGAGGACAGATGAGAAGGAAGGATTCTACTACACTTGGCTTGCATGCGTTTAGATAGAGGGAATTCACACTCCTAGTGGGAGGTGCTGAGGTCCAGATGGGTCACCCCTAGCCCCAGGGTGGTGGTCCATGCATGTATATGCCTGCATGCCTGCAATGCAGGGTCTCCAGGCTGTGGTTGAGAGTGGAGGCATATCTGATATTTCCAGCTAAGTGGGGCACAGGGCACCAAGGAGAAAATAAGAAGAGAAGTCTCTCTGTCCTATATCCTGTGCTAGAGTACTGTGGCCCCTGCCTCACAGCCAATGAGAAGACAGTCTTCGTCCTCCTGTCCTTTCTTTATCCATCCGGTTTCCCAATAAACATTTGCAAAAGGCCTGTGCTGGCTAAGTGATGGACTGCTTGGAGTCCTGGAAAAGACAGTTGAAGGTGCTTGAAAGCCCCTTGGGAAGACAGAATGGTAATGATCACAATTATTCTTAGGGTCTGGTCACATTACAGTCTAAACAAGGTACCGTATTATGGGAGCATTCACATTGGGTACCACTCCCACTTAGATCCTTGCCACCTAAAGACACCATTCTTTACTCAGCACTGTCCACGCTGACTTTGTCTTCCGGCTACCCATAACATCCTGCCATGTATTTGTTTATTATTATAAGTCCCTCCACATACTCCTAAAGTGCAAGGCTTTGCCAGCCTTCATGCTGTATCTCTAGATCCTAGCACAGGCCTGGTGACAGCTGCTGCTCAGAAACAGATGTGAATGATGGGTTCCCGGTGCACACCCTGCCCTGTAGGAAGACAGGAAGGGGCAGGGGCCGAGTGGGCTCCATTGCTTCTGTTAACAAAGGGAACATTCTTGCCATGCCAGAGAGAGCAGGTAACTAGTGTAATGTCCCACAGCAGCCCAAAGGCAGAGATGCAAGGTGTGTCTCCAGGTGGATCTCATCTAAACGCACATGCCCCTTGCCCCCCACCCCTGCACAATAGTGTGCTCTAATGTCATGGTGTGCCCAAGAGCCCATAAGCAAATATCACCTGCTGTAAGAAAAAAATGGGTAATTTTGGTTTCTGTATTTCCTAGGGAAAAAGGACTGCCTTTACTCAAACAATCTATTCTCTATGGATCTTTGGGGTTCTTGGGACCCCAGCCTCTTAGTGGAGCACTCAGCTTCACCCTGGTGACAGTAGGAATGGGACAGATACCTTGATGGCCAAAGATGGCTCTGCCCAATACAAATAGTTCCAGCCACGCGTTCCTCACTGTCCCTGGAACAGTCATCAGGGACAACAGCGTAGGCATGCCATGCTGAAATGCAAACTTTTATACAAGCTGGAGGTGGGAAGTAGAGGAACACTCCCTTGTTGGCAGAGAAGAAGGGGACAGGGCCTGTGCTGAAAATTTATTCCGAGGGTCTTTCTGAGTAGGAGGCCTTACGAGCCACCTAGCCCTTCTAAGAGTGGCAGAGAATTCTCCATCCTCCCCTCTCCTGGCTTCAAACCAAGCCCAGTCACGGTTGGCTTTGTAGATGCTGCATCCGACTCACCGTGGTTTCCTTCTTGTCTGGCCTTGACTGTGACAGCTATCCTAGAACTGTCAACCCTTGATGTCATACACAAGCACCAAAAGCACCAATCACGAGGAATGAGAAGTCAATACCCCCACTATGAAAAGAGCCTCAGCAAGACCCAGAGGAAGAGGCCATTTCCATGGGAAGACCTGCAGTGGCTGCAGGGAACAGCAGAGACCTGAAGGGGAGCTGCAGGCGGATACTGAATGCAGAAAACAACGCAGCTCCATTAGGCTGATGGCTATGTGCACGCATACGTGCGTACGTCTGTAGACAGACGTGTATTTTTTGTGCAGAAATTAAATGAGTCTACAAAACATTATTTTAACTCTGGTTCTATCTGGATGTATGATTAAGAATAACTTACATTTGCTACCGTGTTAAAAACAAAAACAAAAACAAAAATGCCTGTCTTCCCTCCTCATTTTTCCCCCGCCACCCCTCCCATTTCTCTCTATACACCCTCAAGGTGTACCCATGGGATTGGCTGCATTCTGCTTATCTGTCTCCTCCGTTTCCTCCTAACCCAAAGCCCAACAGCTCTGCTCCAACACACGGTGGACGGTTTCACTTCTGCATCCAACCTGCCCATCAACATGCTAGGGTCTTTTCTGGCTGTGATGACCTCACTGGCCCCTCCCTGTCAGTGCCACCCTTGGGGACCCTGCAGAGCATCCTGCCATGCCCATCCCACTGTCCTAGCCTACCTGCCCTGACAGTTCATGAGCTACGTTAGGTGAGACCAACATTCTGTGTATCTCTGTGTCCTCCAGATGAAGTGCTTAGGAAATGTCTGATGCTATGTTTTGTATTTGGTTTGTCTCCAAATGCAGGGCAGGGCATTTGGTCTCCAGTGTGGCGACATTTAGAAGTACTGGGACCTCTAAGGGGTGGCGTCTAACGGGTAAACGTTAGTCACTGGAGATACTTCTCTCATTAGATTTCACTTGGTTTCCAAGGGAGGGGCTCTTACACCTGGCTGAAGGCTACCTGTTCTCCTTGCTTTCTGCCTCCTGCTCAGTCTTTGTGACAAATTTTCTGGTCACAATGTATCTGTTACACCAAGACATAACCCAAGGGTTACCACCAGAGCCATTACCTTCCAGACACCGAAAGTGAGCTAGATAAATCTTTTTTTCTCTTGAGTTACTCAACTCCTGGTATTTTGCTACAGTAACAGAATTGGGGTAATCTACTGGAGAACCAGATGAGCTTGACTTGGCAGTTTTCAGAGCTGGGTATGCTTGGGAGATGAAGAAAAACTAGCTTGGTATCAGGGTGGCAGGGGCCAAGCTTGGGATTAAACACAGATCATTCGTTGGGAGTGTGGAGGTAAATGGTGGTCTAACCTGAACTTAGGGCCGGCCTCAAAGGCTTTCCCTCCACAGATGCAGACTAATAGGGAACAAAGTGCACTTTAGGGGGGAGTGGAAGGGGACAAGGAAGGCTGGGGTAATCACAGTTAAGAGCTAATAAATTGCAAATGAGCACATACCAGGAACTGTTCAAAGTACTTGCCATAGCTGAGCTCCTTTAAAAACATTATTAATCAGGAGGGGAGTCGCAGTTTAGAAATGGGAAGAAAGTCTTAGTCCTGAGAAGGGCAGTCCCGTGGCTGGATTACAGACCTGGGATCAGGATCGTAGCTCACGTTCAGAACCTGGGCCTCGCTCTAGATGAGGTGAAGTGGCGGTAGCAGCTTTTGGGAGTGGGTGCTTTTGCTGTCTGGCAGGATGTGCTGACCTGGGAAGGCCTCCTTGGAGCCTGCCGGGACTGGAACGTTCCAGACCAGGACTGTGGCAAGGGTCTGTGCTCACAAGGCCTCACAGATGGGCCCTCATGTCAAGAGGCAGGAGCATCTGAGGCTAAGTGTGGGACAAGTTGGATGAGTCAGGGCACAAGAAACCAAGCCTTGACTCAATGCGAGGCGCAAATCTACCTTTTCTCCTACTCAGTGCTCACCCCTTCCATGTGCACACGAGAAGTCATGCTCAGAACAGGGAGGTGACATGTTCCATAGCACACAGCCAGTAACCGGTGAAGCTTACTCTCTAGTTTGTATCAGGAATCCAAGTAAAAGGTATTTTCAGACACTTCAGGACTGGGTCAGAACTCTGATGTCTTAAACGTGTCTGTTCCACCCCATGCTCAGTTCTGACGGCGAGACGGGGGTGGCATGTGGCAGCGAGCAGCAGTTACTGCCTGGCACACACAATAGCTTCCTCCCCTGTCCTGTCCTTTTATGCTTGTCTGTAAAATGGGAGTGCTGGATTAAAGTGTAGTCCCCAGGCCATTTGTGGTGGTTAAAATGTCCACTGTTATTTGCACTGGGAAGTATTATCTGTTTGGCGAAAACAGGCAGAACTGCACCCCTTAATGAACGGACTGCAGCAGGTGCCCGTGCCCAGTGGACATGCTCACTTCGTGTTGCAGTGGTGACCTTGATGACCTCTCTCTCACTTCCAGGCTTCCAGGACCTGAGTTAGGAGCAGCAAAGGTCAAGTTCAAAGTGCTCATAACAGTGCTTTTTGTTTCTGGAGTTATAGCACCGGGCCAGGGCTCTGAACTTACGACTTCATTTCCTCTTCAACCCCGAAGGGGAGACACTGTTATGTGCTGCCCATTTTACAGAGTACAAACAAGTCCACATAATTTTTGTGATTTCACTCAACCGTGCCAAATGCTTCTTACGTGGCTTAATTTTAGAATGCTTCTCCAGAAATGAACTCCTGGTATTGAATAAAAGGCATCAGGGAGGCCAGGGTTGGCCTAGGAACCTAGGGACACTGGCCTGGTGAGTGTGACCGAGGACATGCCTCTCCCTTCCCCGGGTTATGTCTGAATCTGAAGTCACAATGTTACCCAGGGTCACGAATCCAGTGAGCGGCAGGTAGTGAGTGCTGAGCCTACACTGCTCTGCCTCAAAGTTGCCTGAGATTTGTTTCTATCGGTCTTGGGAGAGAAGACTGACGACTGAAGGATTTCTCTCCTGGGGAACGGCCTCCTCTCACACGGGACTGCAGGAGACCCCTGCCCACATTTTCTGGAGCAGCATGCTGAAACCATGGACAGCCACCATGACAACCAGGGTCTTCTCACCACCTGCTTCCCAAGCTGTACTTTCTCTGCACTTAGCTGGCAAGGCCCGCTCAAGCCCAAGTTAGTGGACAGGAGCTCAGAGTGACCTCCAAGAAGAGGGCAGGGGAACACCTGCCAGGCTCAACCACAGATGCACAGAGTGGAGAGGTCGAGCATGGAGAGGGGCAAGATGGTTCTGGACCTTTCTGGAAACCTATCTTCTGAAGTCCTGGGGACTTTCTCAGAGCACTACCGTCCCTTGCCACCCCAACCATGCTTCCTACCTGGGCTCAGTGCTTGGTACTTGCACCAGTGACCCGCTGGCCATGCTCCCCTCCACACAGCAAGTGACAACACAACTTAACGCCACCGATCATCCTCCAGCCATGTCCATCACCACTCTGTGCCCAAAGCCTTGAGCATGACATTTGTCCAGCAGTTGTGGAAGTTCCCAGGGGCAGGAGGTTTGACACCTAGTACCTCTTTGGTCTCCACTGCAAGCTCTGGTACAGAGAACCGAGTGGGTTGTCGGTGAAAGGATGGATTAAAAGTCAATACAAGAAACTGGGGAGAAGCAGAGCTATAAAGGAGCAGAGAGGACAGATAAGAGAATTCTATGCATAAGGAGGACCGGGTCCCAGTGTTTCCTCTACTTACCCAGCCTGGCACGGAAGCTTCGGACCGTGTTACCTCCTCCTGGCCGAGCGCCCCGTCGGTTGTACTTCTCATAGAGCCTGAGCATGTGGACAGCGACCATGTCCTGGGCACCTGGGCCCAGCGTGGCTGCTGCATCCCCAGGGGACTGCTGGGGGTCCTTGTCCCTCTGCAGACCTTCAGCTGCCAAGGGCCATGAGGGGCCCCTGTGGCCGCAGCCTACGCCTCGCAGCAGCAGGAGCAGGGGCACCATAGGCAGTAGTTGGGACCCCAAGCTGATCCGAGCAGGACCAGGAGCCATGGCTAAGTGAAGGTGGCGAAGGATCTGAGCCCAGGAGGACAGACAGGAAGGGCTCAGTGTTGGCTGCACACCTCGTCGGCGACCGGAGGGTCCTTGTGGGACTCCAATAGCCCCTGTGACCCGACTGGATGTAGCGGGACTGGCTCTCGGCAGCAGCGCTGTGCGCGGTGCATCCACGCCGCCGGGCCAGCGGTCCCAGCTGTCCGGAGCCGCGTGGAGCACAGCCGAGCCCGCGCCGGCGCGCGCCCTTGATTGCCTCACGCTGCAAACTTTGCAGCCCACGGAGCAGCGCCGGGACTGGGGAGTTCGAGGGGCGGGGCGGGGCGGGGTGCCCGACAGCGCCTTCGGAGGGGAATCCGGCTGCGTCCTCCTCACTCGCGGCCGCGGAGAGCCCGTCTGTGGCCCCGGTGTGCTGTGCGTGCGCCCTGGTGTGCGGGCGCGCGCGCGCCGGGGTGTGCGCTCACCAGTGTGGGGGCCGTGGGTGTGGGCGGGCGCGCTCCCTGCTCCCCCGCCGAGAGCCGGAGACCCAACCCCGCAGCCGGCTCCGGAGTGTCGCTGCCTGCAGCTGAGCCGGGGCGTCGCGGGGGCTGGGCGGCCTTTAGAGGGGGGCCCGCCTGCGGGGTTGCCCCTGCAATGGCATGCTATGGTTATGTGGTTGGAAGATGACAGCTCCCCCATGAGGACCCTGGAGGGGATGCGTGCCTAGTTGTCTCTGCTCAAAATGCAAAGGTGCAATCTTGGGAACAGGAGCTCTGGGATTTAACAACAAAAGGAGTGTGTGTGGCTCCAAAGCTCAATGGACCTAACTAAGGCAGTGGAAAGCAAGAGCTTGATCAAAATACAGACTTAGAATTATCCGATTAACTGACCCTTTATTTGGCAACAGTGACTCCGGTTGTTGAAGAAATACATCAAAGGTCCTTATAAATCTTCGGACAGGATTGCTAAAAAAGAAAAGGACGTGCTTTCAATTTATTTTATAAAAAGTTTCAAAGCATCAGAGAGGGAGGAGAAAAAGTCCACGGTTTTCTCAAAAAGAATTCCGTGAAGTGCTGGTGTAGGGCAGCGTAGCCCTGGGGCGGAAGGGCCCCAAAGGTACTTCACTCCAGCTAAGTTACTTCCCCATAGACAGAGCTCGAGGTCCTAAGGGAAAAAGCCTGGTCGACATTTTCACTAACTTCAACGGAAACGTAGCCGCTTCTGATGTTATACAAACAAGCAAGCGATCCCAGTGACTGAAAGTATGGCTTTTTCACAGATCGACACTACTCAGTTATTTTGTCAGGAAAGGTGCTCCAGGTTTCCCCTAAACTACATTGAAGTTTCAGTAACTATTGATCCTCTGCTAATTAAAGAATTAATAAAATGGAATATTAATCATGTTCAAAATGTAATATGAACACTTGGTACATAATAGCACCTTCATATGTTATTAAACTGATGTTTATGAATTTTTATAATTATAGTGCTGTTGGTTTCCTTTATTAACCTGGGTATTTCATTTTGTGCATCTGAAAGCATACTTCAGGGGCGGGGCCCACAGCATTCGGCCGACTGAGAAAGGAATCATTGACCTCTAAAGTGCTTCTCAACCTTTCCAATGCTGCAGCCCCATAGATCCTCATGTTGTGGTGACCCTCCCCCCCACCCTAAAATCATTTTGTTGCTACTTTACAACTGCAGTTTTGCCACTGTTTTGGATTGTGATGTAAATATGTGTGTTTTCCAATGGTCTTAGGTGACCCCTGTGAAAAGGTCATTCACCCAAAGGTGTTGAAACCACTGCGTTAGGGGGAAAGACAGGACGCCCCTTGAGACCCTCGTTCTTCTAGAAAGTCAGCTCACAGACACCCTCTGTACTGCATGACAAGAACGTGCACACGTGCAAACCCGATGTCCCTCTGATCTGGTGACTTTGGGCTCTGGAAGCCACAACAGTTACTTTTCTTGAAGGGATCACAATGTAATAACTGAAAATTTTCCTGGAAAAAGCTTCTGTCACCGTGTAAACAACCCACCTATAGTTTTTTTTTTTTTAATCTCAGGCTGTCACATTGGAGCTCATCCTGCCCACAGTGGAAGTGCCTAGGGCAGTGTTTATCAGGTATATAAACATACATTATACATTTTAAAATTAACAACACTGTGTTCAATTTTCCATCCATATATAGCTCCCATTTGTGCTGTGAGCTTGTTTTCCCAACATGGTTTGCCTGGAGCTGAGAGTCCATCAAGTCCCGCATCTGTGGTTGAATTTCTCTAGATAAACGGCCCAGACCATCCTTCCTTCCAAATGTCCTCCCCCACCTCACGTCCCTCCTTCTCCATGTGCCCCTCACTTCCCCTTGCCCCCCCTTCTCTTCTTCCCCAGAATGCCTCTGACCTGTGCCAGCTGGGGGTAGCCTCTGCTCAGGGGTAGCTTTGTCTCTGCAGGGGCCAAACACAATCGAGGCCTGTGAAAAGGAGGGGGAGTCCGCGGGAGGCCGCACAAGCTGGGCTATTTGGATCTCTGTCCATTAAAGCCTCCTGGCCCTCCTTAACTCATTCTGGCTCCATTCACGCCAGCTCGAGGGTCAGGCTTTAGCAGGCACTAAAACCTGTAGGGTACAGATCCTCTGACATTGTTTCGAAAGAATTAAGGCATCAGCCAGGGACGGCTAATATTTCTTGCCTCATTTTATGGCTGAACAGCGGGACTGTAAAGTTTTGAACGCTGGAACTCCGTGGCCCCCTTTCATGTGGCCGAGATGATGGGATAAAAATGTGTTTGGTAAAGCAATTCAGATTACCGCTGGGTCACATCCTTGCTAGCTCCCAGCACAGCCCTCCAAAGAGCGCAGCGCAGACAAGAAGCAATCTGTGCAAGTGCAGCTCGTGCTGAACGGTGTTTGAGCGTGGAAATGAGGCTAATTGTGGAGCTTGCCAATGAGCATGTTTTGTTTTTAATAGCTCAGGCTGCAGCTCCGAATAATGAGAATGGAGACGGCTGGCTATGGAGCTCAGTCTTCCAATCCCCTGCTTCGTAGCTTCCCACACAGTTATTCTGCTCTTGGGAGGACCATTCTGGGAGGAGCATCCCATTAAGATCAGGCTCTTGACCTTGTGGATTGGGATGAGGAGTGTTCTCTCTAGAGATAGGGTGGTATTTGAGGGGATCGTGGCCTTCCATCCTCTGTTCCCACTTCCCTAGAGAAGGAGGGGTTGCCTTTAACTCAGAAAACGGTGATGGCAAGTCCCACACCTCAGTACAGCAGGGGACATGCTGATAGCTCTAAGAAGCAAGAGCCACTGGGCTTCTATAAAATCTCCCCCCACATAGAAGTCAAATGAAAAGCTCTCCCTCTCCTTGTCTGACAGTACTATCCAGTTCTTCTGTGACTGAGTCAGTTTGTCATTCTAACCAGCTCTGTTAGAGCCCCAGTGCCCCACTAAATCCAGGAAGTCTGGTCAACAGACTGTTTTGCCTCTAGTACTGCGTGCCGTGCCTGTGGCTTCAATCTAGTCTTGGAAGTGAGAGCGTCTCCATGACCTTCTGAAGTCACCTAGGACTGAGCTCATGTCCCAGCTCCCTTACTACCTAGCTGTGTAAGACCTTAGGCAACTTGATCACTTTCCCTGGGCTTCCATTCCCTCAACTCTAAACACCCGACACTGGAGACATAGGGAGGGTTATCGGTGAGGTTCTAATGAGAGGCGGTGGCGATTGCATTATTGACATTATTGCTGCTTTTCCTTGTGCTGGCTTTGAAAGAGGCCACAGCGCATTCAGAGTGGACCCAGACACTGGGGGATTCGCTGAGAAGCTCTGCAGAGGAATCACTTTTGTTTGCACACTGCTAAAAGCCAAAAGGGACGGCCCATGTTTCCTTGGTTAGCAAGTGTTAGCCCCCTCTAGAATGAGCTGTTGTTATCCGTGTGTCTACGGCATGATTCACTGCTCTTCATCTAAATTTCCAAAGCTCTTGGCCCTTAAAGGACAAAAGAAATGCCAACAAGTCCCTGTCCCCGTTTGGGGTATGAGCTGTGGGACGCTAGAGACACGAATCTCAGGGCCTCTCCGGGCTGCCAGGCAGAGTGTAATAAATCAGTGAAATAACAAGCACAAAGGACTTCATAATCAATGACAGATTTTATTTTTGCTCTGGCAAAATCCATCCGTGGAGTTCACATTTTATGGGGAAATAACTACCCAGTCTGTGACTCCTCCTCAGCGCATAGTCTCTTTCTGAAAGTCAGGAAAACTTAGAGGCTCAGAGTCTGCCTCTTCGAGAACCGTGGCCAGGGAAAGCATGACTTCCCCTGGGCGGGGACCCAGCTCTCCCGGTACTTCCTAGGGTGGTGAGGGCCATTCATTTCTGTTTTGCTAAAATACCCGTGACATGTGAATAAACCAGGATTACAGAACATTGTCTCGGACAGTAATCTGAGCCTGCATGGGCTCTGGCTTGATGAAATATGGTGCTCTCTGAGCAAACATGGGGATCGGTATTACTTCTCGTTAAAGCTGAACAGTGGGACTATTTAGAACTGATGCATGAATGCAGCCCTGTGGGGAGTGACAATTTGAAGGGAGCCGATTTGGAGAAGGGGGTGGTGTGTGTGTGTGTGTGTGTTTGAGTTGGCTAGGGCCAGCTAACTAAGAGGAGTCTTCTGGAGACGCAGCCAAATAGACACTTTGGAAATTGTGACTCCTTTGGGGTTGTGTGGCCTCCTTACAACCCCCAATTTTCCTCAGAACCTTTGATGGCCCTGTTCAAGGGAGACAAAGCCTGCATCCTCTGCTGGCGCTCAGGCCTTTGCCATCTGTCCAGTTTGTCTTGGTTGAGCCTTTTTCCGTCTCTTCCTGTGCGTCTTCTCATGCCCCAGAGTTCATTGCTTCTCTCAATCCTCCTCCCAGCTCCATTCTCGCTGTTTTCAGCCGACTTCAGTGGACGCTGTCACACACATCTGCTGATGTCTCCCTGACTTTCAAGTCACGAAGTGCCCGGAGGTTGCTGTCTGCCCCAACTGCTGTCCTTTGAGGGTTCAGAGCAGAGTCCCTCCTCGGGAACCGTCGGTGAGCTGACAGGAGTGCCGTGCCCACTTTCCCTTGTTTGTTCCCCAGGAGGGCCAGCCGAGTACAGCAGGCAGATGCAGGCTGGAGGGCCCTAAACAACTCTGGGTACCATCATGCTCCAGGAGTAACAGCTGTCACAGCTTGTCACACTGGTCTTCTCTTTCTGGTCCAGGCCGGTTCCCTCCAGCGCTGTGCACCACTCCTCGCCCAAAGCACTGTCTTAAATACTCTGTATCCCCCATCTTAGCAGCAGGCATGACCTGAGAATACAGCTTCTGAAGGTGCAAGGCCTGCGTCTCGTGCTGAGACTGGAGCAGACAGTGTCTGGATGGCAGACAGCTATGCCTATCTATCTCTCAGAGGCCCAGGAGGAAGGGATAACTTAGATTACTACATCAGGCTCCCCTGGGAGTCCTGGACACAT